AGGTGGCTTCTGGAGGTCCTGCCAGGCTGGCTGTGAAGACGGGGTTCACTCTCAATTTACATGGGGAATCAGGGCCAGGTGGGGGCAGGTCATCCCTTTCTGTTCCCATTGAACTCTCCCACCCACAATCTCCCCTTCCCAGCCTTCCCTGCCCTTTTGTGTATCCATGGACTTTGCATGTACCCATGTAAGTTCTTTAGTTAATCTCTTACTGCAGACAACCTCCAGTTGAAATGAAAGAACACATCGGCAGGGGCTGGAGGGACTCCCACCCACACGAGGAGCCAGTCTAGGCCATTTTCCCTGGTTAAGGGGAGCAGAGTCGGCTGCGCCTTCTTCCAGGCAGCCCTCTGGCTTTCTTATATCTTTCAGAGTCTGTGCTTCCAGAAAAAGCTAGACAGACTGCTTGCACTCCCTTCCTGTGTCACCCCCTCCTACACCTGGTCTGGCCACCTCCAGCCAAGCCAAGCCCACCTTCCCAGCCGGCCCACACCTGTGTAGGTTCATCAGTTGAGGGAATTGATGTGTCCAGCGGTGGGTTTTAGGGCTGATGGGAGAGTTAGCACCGTTTGCTCTGAAGCAGGGATTCCACCCTCAGCACTTTTCACATCTGGGACTGTGGAGCGACCCTGAGAGGAGTCCAGGTGATGGGGGCAGGGCTAGAAAGTGGGCGCCAGGAGGTCTGGTTGTGCTTGATGACCTGCATAATGAGCGGCAGGCGGTCTGGAGAGGGGAGTCATCAGGGGGCCATCTGGAGATAAGGTGCAGCTGCAGGAACTGATGAGAATCAGGCACTGACTCAGGGCTGGAAAGTTCAAGCCTCCATGCTCCCAGGCTGGTTACAGGAAGCGCAGAACCATGGCCTCCTGCCACGACCTCCATTGCGTCCATAATTTTAGTAGCTTGTTCCTGTGTCCATTTGTACATTCTCTATCTTCACTCCTTCCTCATCTCCCCCTTTGAGCAGGAAGTTTCTTTCAAAAAAATCATAGGTCAAACAAAACACTTAAAATATATACATTGATCTCAGAGAGGAAGGGAGAGGGAGAGATAGAAACGTCAACGATGAGAGAGAATTATTGATCAGTTGCCTCCTGCATGCTCCAAACTGGGGATTGAGCCCGAAACCCGGGCATGTGCCCTGACCAGGAATTGAACCGTGACCTCCTGGTTCATAGGTTGACGCTCAACAACTGAGCCATGCCAGCCGGGCCAAACCGAACATTTCAATGTCTCTGGTTGCAGGGGTGGCAACGCCTGACCTGGGCCCATGTGTCTCTCCGAGGGGAGATACGGGCTAGAGACACCCTCTCCATCCAGGGTTCTAGAACCAGCTCAATATTTGTGCAAACCTCTGGGCAGAAGTCTTAGGACCGGACCAGCTCAGGCGTGATAGTTCTGTATCCGTGTCAGATGCAGTCTCACTCCCGTCCAGTTAGACGTTGTCTCTCAGTTTGGGAGGCAGTGACGCAGGTGCTGCCAGGAGAACAGGTTCTTATTGAACTTATGCAAATCACAATATTGCCATGAAAATAAACACACTCATGAAGGCTTTCTGAATTCCGGTGGGATCACGTGGGGATAAAAAGGTAAATGTTTTCATTCTGCTCACAGTAGTGCGATTTGCCAGATTGCTCTACATCTTAGGTAGCTAAGGAGAAAGGTTTCCAAAAGGAATGAAAGGACCAGCAATATTCCAAACAGAGTGTCATTAACATTGCAATCAACCTGCTCAGCTCATCCAGTTTCATGTTGTTACTTCTCGCTGGTCTTGGCCTGTTTGTCAGCCCAGCTGGATCCCGGGACTTATGGATCCCATTTCCCTTAGTTCTACAAATCCCCACCCAGTTCAATGGAATAATTGAGAAGTTGACCAGGAACCTGTAGGTTAGAGGCAGCATGAGAATCCTCTCCCTGACTCTCTCTGTACAGCAAACGCTTGGCCGTTCCCAGGCATGTTTCTGTCACCACCTGTGGGATGTTGCTGGCAGGAGGACTCAGAGGCAAGGGTGCTGCTCTGGGGCCTGCAGTGCCCAGTCCGGTCCCATGACCAGGATCCTCCCTTGGACCCAGTGTCCACGATGCTGAGGTTGAGCAGCCCTTGGAGAGAAGACAGGCCTGTCTGTTCAGTACTTTCTCTTCCTGTCCCCTGTGCCATCGTGTCACCTCACCACCTGCTGTCCACGATGCATGTCTTGGGACCAGGGCCACATGCACCGCACAGTCCGCAGCCCTGGGTGTGGTGTGGGCTTGCCCTTATCAGAGAGACTCCCCGGGAGCCTAATGCTCACAGATTTCTTCCTCTGTCTCACTCAGCACACGTCCCAGAGCCCAGTGTGGGCCGGACTACACTGTGCAGGGCAGTCAGCCCTGAGAGTCAAAACCTGCAGGTGTCCTGGGAGGTAACAAGGCCTGGCCCCCAGGGGAGATGGGGCCAGGAGGTGCTGCACAGGGTTCTCTCTGCTGCTGAGTGAGGTCAACAACCAGGTGTCACCAATCAACCCACCTGGTCACACAGAGTGAGACAGAGGATCTGCCGAACACGGGGCAGAAGGTGTTCACGGGGAGCTTCTCTGTTGTAACGAACATGCCCCACGTTGCTCTTAAATAGCCAGAAACACCTTTGAGTTGCTGGAAAGCGTATTCTTTTTTTTTTTTTTTATTATATCTTATTGATTTTTTTACAGAGAGAAAGGGAGTGGTATAGAGAGTTAAAAACATCAATGAGAGAGAAACATTGATTCAGCTGCCTCCTGCACACTCCCTACTGGGGATGTGCCCGCAACCAAGGTACATGCCCTTGACCGGAATCGAACCTGGGACCCTTCAGTCTGCAGGCCAACGCTCTATCCACTGAGCCAAACCGGTTAGGGCTGGGAAGTGTATTCTTTAAGGTGCCAGTGCCTTGGGATTGTCTGAGTATCGACGGCTCCTCCTTCATTGGCCCCTTCATCCCAAGATGCCCATTGGATGTGTAGAGACCCTCCCTGTGGGGATCTGGTGAGCAGGAGGGGAGGGGATGGCTGTCCATGGCCCCCTCACCACATGCCTGTGCCTTCACATGTGGGTCTGTGGGGATCCCTTGTGAGGTTGGGGAGGTGGTAGTCATGTGGAGGCCATATCTCTGGGGAGATGAGAGGCCTCTCTGCCTCCATGTGGGCCTTCAGGTCTCCCCACCATCAGAGACCTGGCTGTCATCTGGGGTGAGCCAGGCAGGGGACATGCCTCCCTGCCTCCCTATTCCCACCACCTGGGTCCCAGTGAATTCCACAGATGTTAGTGTCTGTGTCTTTCTGATTCACCTCAGACAAATCGGAGGGTCCCTTGCCTCTCAGAATTTAAGTGCCATTGGTGAGATTGACCTCATGGGAAGGGAAGACAACAACCCTACAAACTCTACACGTGTGTGTGTGTGTGTGTGTGTGTGTGTGTGTGTGTGTGACATGCAGGCAAGAAGCAGCTTCTGAGGAAAATTAAGCAACACAAGGAGTTGGCAGAGGAGGTAGTTCAGAGGCCCAGTCAGGGCTGGTGTGTCTCTGGAGGGACAGAGCAGGAGGAGGGAGAGAGCTGCCTGTCTGATTACTAGTCATCAATCTCACAAGCATGCACAGGCACCTGCAGGCACACACGGCACATGGGTACACACACATGTGCACACACACATCCAAGCACTCACTGTCACTGTGTCTGAAGACCCCAGCCCCCACCCGCGGTCCAGGTTCTAGTGATCCGGTGAGAAGGGTGGTGCCTGGAGCAATTCCTCTAGTCAGCTAAGTTCCAGGACAAGTCTGAGCAGAGTAAGCAACAGGGAAATGGCCTGACTTGACTTGAGCCGAGCAAGGACCAGGGCCAGGTACTGAAGCTCACTGGGCAGGAGCCTGATGTCCAGCAAGGGGCAAAACTAGGACCACAAGAACCTCACCCCAGGGTGACCTTTCCTCCCGTAGCACATCGAGGGTCATGGGGTTTGAACCCCTGACCTTTCCTCCCTGAAAATAACACCCAGACCTCAGTTGTATGTCACCTCCAGGCCCAGAGAAGCAGCAAAACCAGACAATTGATGCCATGGCTGCTTCAAGATCAGCTTCCTTGACTGACGGTCCCTGATGCTGGCGCCGACCAGTCAGTGGAGAAATGACCCTGAAAGAGCACCCCTGGGAAGCAGGTGAATATCCTATTGAGACCCTCCCCTGAGACCTCCCCTGAGAATCCCACCTGCAGAAGAAATAAGTATCCTCAGCACTAAGGACCAGGGGAGCCCACACACACCTTTCCCTCCCTCCTTCCTCTAAGGGACCATGTGAGACATGCAACCGGGGAGCAGTGGGCAGTGGCAGCTCATCCTGGGCTCACCCCTGACCCTATCTCCAAGGCCCCCTTTTCTCTGACTTCCCAGTGAGCCAGAGCAGCCCAGCCTGGCTCTCTTGTTGTTCCTTCTAAGCCTCCTTGTTGCCTTGTCCCAAGTATGTTTCTGGTGCAGCCGCACGTTGGCTTTGCTGCACGTTGGCTCTTGATTGAGGTCTTTCCTTCATGAAGACAAGGACCATCATCTCGTCTCACCGGTTACAAGGATTTGGGTTCCCCTGTTTTCTTCTAAACTGCTTTCTCTTTAGTGGTAACAGTGGTAAAAAAACAAACAAAACACCTCAGAATTCCTAGCATGGTGCATAGAAGGGCCATTTCCACAGCAAGCAAAGTTGTCCTTGCTGGACAGGGCCTGGGCATCAGCCGGGGCTCACTGTCACCCTCTGGTGGCTGGACAGAGAGCTGCCCATGCTCCTCCACCAGGTGGTTGGAATGGCTCTCATTGTTCTCCAGAAGTGAAAACCTCCTGTCCCTTTAATGAACATGGAAATCCCACAGTGACATCCTCCCCTCTTCTACCCAGATATTCTTAGGGGTGCCTGAATTTGCTGTAGATTTTCTTTGTCTTTTTAAAAAAATTGTGTGTTTTCTTTTTAGAGGAGAGAGAGAGAGAGAGAGAGGAGAGAGAGAGAGAGAGAGAGAGAGAGAGAGAGAGAAAAGAGAGAACATTGATCAGTTGCCTCCTCTATGTGCCTTGACCCGGAGTTGAACATGCAACCTCCTCGTACCCTGACCAGAACCCGTGACCTTCCTGCACATGGGGTGACACTCCAGTCAACCGAGCCACACCAGCTCAGGCTTGGTCCAGTCTTTTGCTTGAAGCTTGTAAAGAAAGGTGCTGTTTTCCATTTGTCAGAACTGCCTTGAATATGCCTATGTGAATAATCACTCTCCCCTGGGCGGTTCAGGAGCCCAGGCAGAGGTCCTCCATGTCTCTGGGTCCATCCCTATGGACGTCAGCCTCCTCCCCATCACTTAGGTTTGGGGATATATCAGTTAGCATTCTCCAGAGAAACGAAACTGAGTTCTTCATTGTCAGAAACTGGCTCATGTGACTGAAGGCTTGGCAAGTGAAAAACCCCCATAAAACAAAAAACCCCGAGGGGCTAGAGCCATAGGCTGGAGATCCAAGGAAGAGTCGATGTTGTAGTTCAAGTCCAAAGGCCAACTGCTGGCAGGTCCCTCTTGGCTCTGGGAAGTCCATCTTTGTTCTGGTTGGGCCTTCAACTGATTGGATCAGGGAGATCTGATTTACTCAAAGTTCACAGATATAAATGCCCAGCTCTCTCAGAACATACCCTCACAGAAACATCTGGAATGGCGTTTGATGAAATACCTGCGCATGCAGCCCAGCCATGTTGACACCTACAATTAATCATCACAGGATGTTCCTTGGGCTTACAGGTTCCTTGTCTGACCCCCACAGCTACACTCTCTTTTCCCTGAAGTGTGGGTTGCCAGCCATTCCAAGCCCTGAGCTGGAAATGTCTCTCACACTGGGGCCCTGGCCTCACGCCTAGACTCCGGGTCCTGGGCACACAGAGGCTTGGCCACCTAGGGACAGCACCTTCCCTCTCCCAAGCCTGTTTGGAAACGAGGAGTAGGGGCATCTCTCCGGGCTTGTGCGGAGGAGGTAATGAGATACCACACAGGAGAGAGCTTTGTAAGTGGCGAAGCGCTGTGTGCACACCTGTGTTTGTTCAGGGGTATCGGCATCCGAGGGGGTGGGGAGTTCTAGGACAACCTGCAGCCCTGGCTTTGAGGTGACCTCTGCTCCACTCACTCTGTCCTGGCCTCTGGGGGCAAACTCCACGCTGGCCACCTCTGGCAGGCAGGTTGAGACAAATGTCTCTGTGTTCTACTCCATCCCTGTTCTCCGGGTGTTCCTGGGGTTTGGGAGTCGACACCTGGCTCCATCAGTGACCTGAGTTCATGCCCAGGTGAGCAGGAAGTGGCACCCACTGGATGCTCCTTCCTCTCAGGCAAGACCCAGATGAGAGGCTGAGCAGAGACGCCAGGATGGGCCCAGCCCCAGATGAGCAGCTCTGTGGCTGTGAGCAGAGCGCCATGACCTTCCCATGTAACGGGCCTGCTAGAACATCTTGCGATTCCCAAAAGCATCAAGTGAAAAGTCACACAGAGGTCGTCTCAACTCCTCCTCCCCCATTTGGCCTCGTTATTTATTCATGTTGAATTTCTAGAACTAATTTCGGCGTTTACGAAGCTGACACTTGGTATTCGGCAAGTTCTCATCGAAGCACATGCAGTGGGATGGTGTGAGAAGCATAGTCCTGAGTGTCCAGTCCCAGGACTTCTGACAAATGCGTCCCCACCAAGATAGGGGGTGCTTCCTCCTGCTCCCAGGTTCCCTGTTCCCTCCCTGCTGCCCCAGCTCTTCCCCGCCTGGCGCTACTTGGCTCAGAATCTGGGCAATGCGGTCACGACCAGTTCCTGCCGGGGCGGGACCCAGGCTCTGTGTGCTGACAGTTCAATGCACACAGCGTGTTATTGTAGTTAATTTTAAAGTGATGCTTCTACCCAGCTGGTGTGGCTCAGTGGTTGAACATCAACCTATGAACCAGGAGGTCACAGTTTGATTCCTGGTCAGGGCACATGCCCGGGTTGCAGGTTTGATCTCCAGTGTGGGGTGTGCAGGAGGCAGCCAATCCATGACTGTCTTCATCATTGATGTTTCTACCTCTCTTTCTCTCCCTTCCTCGCTGACATTAGTAAAAATATACTTAAAAGAAAAATGAAGTGATGCTTCCTCAGGATCTTCAGCTGAACAGTGGGCACCAGGCCCCTGGAGGTCAGAGTGCTTTCCTCTTGTAGCTCAAGGGTGAGAGGAACAAGGTCCAGGACCTAGCCTGGCCCAGAGCAGGGACTGAGTAACTTTTGTTGAATCCATGACCCAAGAGGCCCCTCGGGGAGCAAAGGAGGCTGCGTGAGTAGGCATGTCACCTCTTGGAGTGAGCTGGAGCGGAGGCATCGCCTGGGTGGCAAACAGAAGTCTGGGGTGCTTTGCACCTGGAGTGTTGAGTGTGGGGAGGAGAAGCAGCGGTAGGCAGCTGAGGAAGGCCCTGGTCTCCCATCCTGACATGGGGAGGAGCCTGCTTTCCCACACGGGTTTGAAATGGGCTGTGACCACCCATGTGCCCACCCAGCGGGACCTCGAGCCTGCACTCAGACGTCCTGCACTCGGGTGGGCCCAGGTCCTGGCCATACTGGCCCACCTCGGGATTCGGATGAAATTCACAGAAAGGCCAGCCTGCTCTCTGCAATCAGAAGCTGTTAGACTGATGCGAGTCCCAAAATGCCAGCCAGCCCTGGGGGCACACGGCCACACCAGAGAAGGGCCTCGACACAGGCGTGCTCACCCTGGAGCTGCAGACAGAGAGGAGGTGGAAGTCTCCTTCCAGCTATGGGCCCACAGAGGCTGAGTTTAGGGTGATTCCTGTGCCCACTCACACGTGGGAGGCTGTATTTGGAAGGAAGACCTGGGTTGTCATGACTTGCATCAGAGGGGTCCTGACATGGCAACCATCAGAAAAGCACAAACACAGAGAACTGGCCACCAGGACTGCACTTGGGATGAACAAGAAACCGGAACAACAAGAAAAGGTAAACAGTAAACTCGTCATTTCAGGAAAAAAGAAGAAAAGAAACCGGAACAAAGTATGAGGAGCGACAGCAGCCCCTTGAGGGTCTTCAGAGGAGATTGAGGGCTCCCCTGCTCCCACACTCAGTGGAGCAGAGGGGCCGGTGAAACCTGGAGAGGGGGCAGGTCGCCCAGGACATCAGGATACAATTCTCCACACAAGGGACCCGAAAGAATATGCCGTGCAAAACTCAAAATAAAACCAAACACACAAAAGAGCCAGATGGTGAGTTTGATGCTTGAGGTTTATTTAGGTGAGAGAAGAAAAGGCACAGGTACAACAACTAAACGCTTTTCCAGGTCTTCAGGGACAACTCGAGGTGCTTCAGGTCTCGGTTCACAAAGCTCATTGACAGCACAGCTTGCGTCGACGGCCAAGGAATTTACACACCCCACTGACACGCTCCAGCACCTCACCCAAGATGGTAACTCGGCAGTTGCGTCTGCAGCGGCAGCGTTTTATTTTTATTTTCCCAGGTTCTGTGGAGAGTGGAGGAGGGTCAGGCACTGGGGAGGGGACTGGGAGGAGATCTTCTGAGAGAGGAACTCTCTAGTCACCCTGGCAAAACCTGCCAGATCAGGCTGAAAGGATTCACATGTTTCTCACAAATCACAAGGAATCTTACTGGCTCTGTGCGATCATGCAGGATCATCAGTTTTCTCTGATCCTAGTCAGTGATGTACATGCTTATGTCCTGCCCCTTCCCAACAACCTTCCTCTCCAACTCAGGGCAATTACTCCTCACCCCCAGTCATCCTCACACCCAATTTTGAGCCCAGACACCTGGCCCTTTCCAACAAGCCCCTCCTAATGGGCCACAGACCCCAATTGCACAGACCCCAGTTGGCTGGTGTCTCACCTGCAGCTCGAGCGAGGCGTTCCTCTCCTGTGAAGGAGATGGCCACGTCCTGGTCACCGTCCTTGGTCTGGTCCTCGTCCTCAGACCAAAGTTCACCCTGGTCCTTGGCTTCAGGCTGGTCCTGGGCGGGAACCTGGTCATCTGTCTCTTGGAGGGTCCGGGCCTGGGCCTGGAGGGCCACGAGGAGAAGGGCAGCCAGGAGAGTGAGGGTCCTCATGGCTGAGAGTCACCTGGAGCTGAGTGTCAGGTGAGAGGACAGGAGAGAGTGGTGTTCAGGGCACAGTCAGCCTGTACTTATAGGTCAGAAGGGAGGAGGTTAAGAGACACACGGTGCAGGAGGGAAGCTGTGCATTTGGCTGGCCTAGGGCCAAGGCCGATGTCGCCCTCAAAGCCCCTTTGATGCTCCTGTTCCTGCCCCTCCATCAAAGCATGTGTCCGTGTGCCGAGTGTCCACACTTGTTTCAAGGTGATAACGATGATAAGGACCTGCCATGTTTTCTGTTTCCCATCTGCTTGGATATTTACCTTCTGATGTTCAAAAAACAGGGAACTGTGCTCTCATTGAGTAAGTCAGGGACCAGAGGCCTCTGCTTTCTGATGTGGGCCCTGCTCACCTCTGAGTCCCTGGCCCTGGGACCAGCCCTTCCCCGATGGAGTGGAGGGTCCATTCTGCAGGTTCATGGCATCACTCCCTGTGGGGGAGTTTGTCAGGTCCTGGGGTGTAGGCTCCTGTGCTGGAAGGAGTAATTAATAAATTGAATTACTGCTTCACATTTGCAGTGACTCAGGCTCAGGTGGAGTGAGTTCTTGAGGACACAAGAGAAGGAGTTGGTGAGTGTTAACATTTATTATTGATCATTAAATTCTAGCAATTCACTTACATCCAAATGTTTGAAGTTATAAGCCTAACTCAAATGAATATCTTTTTACATACATCATCTTGTTTACTTGTGACCATCCTTTAGATAAATGTTTAGAAGTAGATTGCGGGATCAAGAACACTCCATTGAACAGACATTAATTTACAGTCCTCTGCAGAGGTTGTCCCGACATCACTCACTGAAATATATGAATGAGTGAAACATTTGAGGTCCCAGACTCTCCTGCAGGTCAGAATGGCCAATAAACAGAGTTTCAGTAAAATGTAAACCCTAGGAGGGCCAATTTTTGAATAATAAATTGAATTACTGCTTCACATTTGCAGTTATTTTTATTCTTGGATCTGTCAAATTTTCTTTCATCCCTTTAATTCTTTGATGACCCTATTATAGAGGTTGCCTTTCTCATCCTCCCCCCACTTTGCCCAGCTCCACCCAGTTCCCACCACCCTCTTCCCTGTAGCCATCTCCACACTGGTGACTGTGTCCATGGGTTATGCATATATACTCTTGGGCTAATCCCTTCACTTCTTTCACCTATACACCGCCCCTCCCTCCTGACAGGTGTTCCATGTATCCATGCTTCTGTTTCTATTATATTTGTCAGATTATTTTATTCATTATAGTCCACATGTAAGTGAAATTACATAGCATTTGTCTTTCTCTAACTGGCTTATTTCACTCAGTACAACAATGTCTAGGTCCATCCATGCTGTGGCAAAAAGTAAGATTTCCTCCTTTGTTATGGCCACGTAGCATTCCATTGTGTAAATGTGCCACAATTTTTTAATCCACTCATCTCCTGATGGGCAGTTGGGCTGTTTACAGATCTTGGCTATTGTAAAAACCAAGCAAACAAAAA